GAGGTCTTCCATCCACTGGTTTACTCCCCAATTGGCAGCAATGGCCAGAGCTGGGCCAATCCAAAGCCGGGAGCCAGGAGCTTCTCCAGGTCTCCTACATGGGTGCAGGGGCCCAAGGACTTGGGCCTTCTTCCACTGCTTCCCCAGGCCATAGCAGAGAGCTGGATCAGAGTTGGAGCAGCCAGGACTCAAACTGGTGCTCACATGCCAGCGCCGCAGGTGGCGGCTTTACCGGCTACACCACAGCGCCAGCCCCCAGCTCCCTTTGGAATGCTCTGTCCAGCCAAGCGTGCCCAAGCTCCCTGTTGCCACACTCCTCTGTGATGCCTGCCTGGCCCCCTAAGGGTGCTTGAGTTCCTCCTTTAGTCCCCTGAAGGTCACAGCCAGTGCACTCAAGCCCCTCCTTGAACAGAGTCCGCAGAAATGCTTCCGGCCGGGAGGAATGAGAGCAGTCCTAGCATGCAGCAGGTCCTTTGGGCCCACCCTGATTCAGGGTGCCAGGGGTGTAGGGACACCACCCTGCAATGGGCTGTTCCACTCATGATCCTGCAAGAGTGTCTACTAGAATACACCCTCTGTCAATGCCCAACCGCACTTCCCTCCCCAACGGAGCAGATTTGAAGCAACGCCAAGGCCAGGTCTGGGTTCCTGCACAGGCCTCTCATTTCTTCTTAATGAAGCTCTTTAACTGAAAATAGCAATTCTAAATTCTAAGGGAAGAAAGAAAAAACCTGCACTGAATAGCCATTTGACAGAATTATGGTTTCCATGAATAACAGATAACTACCATGAACTTGAAGATTTTGGGAGCCTTCTCTGGTCAAGGAAGTGGGAGTGAGCCACGCAGGAGGGCGGCATTATCCTTTGCTTACTTAAATTGCAAGTTCTGTGTTTAACGCCTTCCTCCAATTCACAGCAAGCGCTCTTTCCTCATCTCTCATTTGTACCTCAGGAAACTGAGAGACCTTGGGGACCCCTGGAGCCCCAGCTAAGCCCACAGGAAATCTAATTACTATAGAGATGCCACACTTGAGTTCTACAAAGGAAAATGTAGGATCTGATGATATGCAAGGAGCACTTCACAAAGTTCACATGAAAAGTGTTTATTTTGGTGCAAAAATCTTGAAATCACTTTAAGAGGCGGTATTTAAACAGTTGATGGGAAAAGTGGATTCTGAGAAAACCAGGCATGGATTTCCAAAAAATTTTGCATCAAAGTAATTTACCTTTCAGTTCAATTGTCATGAGTTTTTGAAACACATTGTCATGGTTTTGGTGACAACTTCTTCAAAGTCCAGTGATTGGGAATGCGTGGCAATTCTGTGCACCGAATCCACTAACCTGGGAAAGAAAAGTGAAATATGTCTTTGGACGGTGGGAGCCTGTGCTGAGGTCAGGTAGGGGTCAGAGGAGCTCCAGGGCACAGCAACTGGCTGGCCAGACTGCACAAAGCCACCACCTTTGGGTGCTTTCCTTGCCCCAAAAATATAAAAGCAGTCCCAGGGCTGGCTCTGCAGCATAGCGGGTAAAGTCGCTGCCTGCAGTGCCCACATCCCATATGGGCACCGGTTCGAATCCTGGCTGCTCCACTTCTGATCCAGCTCTCTGCTATGGCCTGGGAAAGCAGTGGAAGATGGCCCAAGTCCTTGAGCCCCTGCGCCCATGTGGGAGACCTGGAAGAAGCTCCTGGCTCCTGGCTTCAGATCAGTGCAGCTCCAGTCGTTGTGGCCATCTGAGGAGTGAACCAGTGGATGGAAGACCTCTCTCTCTCTCTCTCTCTCTCTCTGTCTCTGCCTCTCCTCTCTCAGTGTAACTCTGACTTTCAAATAAATAAATAAATCTTAACACACACACACACACACACACAAATCCCATCTCACATCTCCCCTCAATGTCTGAGACACTCCAAAAGGGCCAGCCCTTTTTAATGAAAAAATAACTTGGAAAGGGGTCATTCAACTTAACTTCACAAAGAATAACCAAACACCGATTAAATGACTCAGAATAACCAAACGAGACCAGGTCCCTCTCGTGAAGGACCCCTGCCCCTCTATGTCACAAACGCCTTGGTGTCAGGACAGACCCGTGAACCCCGGACTTCCTCCTCCTCGCCAGAGGCAGGTAGCAGGGTGGGGTAGTGAGGGGAGACTGACAGCCAGATTCCCCCTAGCAAGGACAATGCCTCTGAAGATAAGCTTTTTTATGTGCCGAATTAGACATCAATGAGCTCAATTTAGTCATTTCATAACGCACACAGATTTCAAAACACGATGCGATAATTACCTAGGCTCTTCAAAAGCTCGTGGACGGATGGACGTGTGTTCTACTGGTTGGGATGCCTGCGCCCCACATCTGAGTGTCTGGGTTGAACCTGGACTCTGCTTCTGAATCCAGCTTCCTGCTAATGTGCACCCTGGGAAATAACATGCGAGGACTTTTGGATTGAGTTCCCAACTCCTGGCTTCAGCTCCACTCCAGCCCTGGCCACTGCAGGAATTTGGGGAGTAAACAAGTGGATGGGAGCGCTCTCTCTCTCTCTCTATCTCTCTCTCTCTCTCAATGTCTCCTTACCATTCAAATAAATATATTTTTGAAGTTCATGGAAAATGCACGTTAGGAAAAAATCTATACATGGATTTCAAAAATTTTTCCATCAAAAAGTCTACTTTCCACAAACTTCATCCAGTTTTTTTGTCCATTAAAAATAAGCTAAAATTTTAAGTTTTTTAATTAAAAATAAAAACAAGACTTCTTTTGAAAGGAGAAAACAATGGCTCTCACGTAACTGTGTTTGGCAAATGAGTGTCACCCATAGAGCAGGTGGCAGACGCAGGCACTGGGAAAGTCTCTTCCTCATCCCCACCCCACTCACACTCTCCTTTGGACCGTCGCTCCCTGACCCGCATCATCCACACACTGCTGGCACAGTTTTGCCCACAGAAACTGGCCACAGAAAGGGCCAGATGATCAGAAGACGGATCCAAGAGGAAGAAGACAACTGATTTTTTAAAAAATCTTTATAAAACACCCAAATTGCTTTTTTTAAAAAGATTTTATTTATTTATTTGAGAAACAGAGTTACAGACAGAGAGGGCGAGACAGAGAGAGAGGTCTTCCATCTGCTGGTTCACTCCCCAAATGGCCACAACAGCCGGAGCTGAGCCGATTGAAGCCAGGAGCCAGGAGCTTCTTCCAGGTCTCCCACAAGGATGCAGGGGCCCAAGGACTTGGCCTATCCTCTGCTGCTTTCCCAGGCCATAGCAGAGAGCTAGGTTGGAATTGGAGCAGCCGGGACTAGAACCGGCACCTATAGGGGATGCCAGCACTGCAGGCAGAGGCTTAGCCTGCTACACCACAGTGCCGCACCCCCCAAATTGCTTTCCATCTCCATCTTCTTCAACCGTAAGACATTTACATACGATATTCCCTTCAGGTAGGAAGGTCTTGCTGCCCCGTGATAAAAGCATCAGACTCTATTCTTATAAATATAATACAAATAGAAATTATGCTATACCTTAAATATAAAATAGTAACAGTGGATTTTTTTAAGCCAATATTCGTGATGCCCACACCCCACATGGGAAAGCCAGCTCAAGCCCCAGCTCGTCTGCTTCCAATCCAGCTCCCTGCTAGTGCACCTGGGAAGGCAGCAGATGATGGCCCAAGTACTCCTGGCCCTGCCACCCACCTGGGTGACCCAGATGGACTTCATGGCTCCTGACTTCAGTCTGGCCCAGCCCTGGCTGTTGCAGACCCTTAAGGCGTGAGCCAGCAGATGGAAGATATCACTCTTTTTTGTCTCTCCCTCTATCTGTCGCTCTTTATTTCTTTTTTTAAGATTTATTTTATTTATTTGAAAGGCAGAGTTACAGAGTGGCAGAAGGAGAGAGAGAGAGAGAGAGAGAGTGAGAGAGAGAGAGAGAGAGGTCTCCTATCTGCTGGTTCACTCCTCTGATGGCTGCAATGACCGGAGCTTTGCTGACCGGAAGCTGGGAGCCAGGAGCCTCTTCCAGGTCTCCCACAGGGGTGCGGGAGCCCAAGCACTTGGGCCATCTCCCATGCCTTTCCAGGCCATAGCAGAGAGCTGGATCAGAAGTGGGCCAGCCAGGACTCGAACCGGCACCCTTATGAGATGCCAGCACTGAAGGCGGTGGCTTTACCCGCTACACACAGCGCTGACCCTCTGTCGTTCAAACACCTAAATAAATAAATCATTTTTAGAAACAGCAAAAGCTAATTTTTTCCCTGAAGCATTTTCTAAGCTCCGCTCGCACCTCCAGGCCTTGGGCTGACTCAGGGACACGCAGCTGACACGGGACGACAGGGACACGCAGCAGGGAAGTGGGGAGCGGGTCTCTGTTCAATCTCCAGCCAGGGCTGAGGCCCTGCCAAGGCCACAGGCAAGCAGGGAGGGGTTCATTTTGCAGTCTTTTGCGTGTACGTGCGTGAGGGAACCATGGAGACTCGGCACGTGGGTGGTGGTCAGGTAACAAGTAAAAACGTGTGCACATCAAATACAAGGGCTTTCGTGGGACACATACAGGTGCCCCACCTGTGCTCGCGAGCAGTGCCCACTCCGAGGAAGGGCACAGCTACATCAAATTCCAGCTCTTAGCTTTTGTTAGCAGGCCACGGGGTGATTCCAGCTGTCAGTCTCCTAATCTGACACTAAGTGTACATTGAGCCAGCTCCCAGGGGATTACGTGGGTGGCAGGGGCCCAGGTCTTTGGACCATTCTCTGCCGCATTCCCAGGTGCATTAGCAGGAGCAGGATGTGAAGTGGAGTAGCTGGGACTTGCACCAGCAGCCATAGCTTACCCCCTGCCTTCTGACCTAATTATTATTGCCATCCACATTTGCTGTTGAAGAAACACACTCAGCCTATGAGCCTGCCTTGTGTTTACAGGCATAGTGCCCGTTTTGAAACTTATCTCGCTGTCACTCCAAAATTAGTGGTTTTATTTGGAGGACTGGGATTGGCTTTTTCTTGTCTGTTCCAGGGGATGAACAACCAGTACATCCGCCGGGAGGTCTTCTGCTGCGAAACTTGCGATGAACTCAAAAGCTTCTGGGAAAAAGAGATTAACAAACAGACCTGCTACCGAGCACTGGAGGAAGATCGCCAGGGACGAAGCGCCCTGAGAAAGTACGTGGGTTGCTTCCCTGCTACCTTTAACCAAGGTTGCCCAGAAATACACCAGATGGGAAGGCACTGAATTTGAGGCATTGCTCACTGTTCTAAGAACCGTACGTGCTGGCCGTGTACCATGAGGCTGCCCGGCTAGAGGTGGAAATCAGGACAAGGTTCGGAAGGAAAACCTTTATGATACACACAGGTTCCAGAGAGGGGGTCGCCCCATGCCCTGGGGGGGGGGGGGGCCAAAGGGGAAGCAGTGCCCGAGGGTGGAACAGAGGAGCTGGGTGAAGGGTGGGGCGAGGTGGGGGGGTGGGGTTGGTGCCTAAGCCAGAGCCTGTGTTGGGTTTTCCATGGGAATAGCAAGACCGGGCAGAATATGTGGCTTAGAATTGGCTGATTGGAATCATTCCAGAAGGTTTTAGGCTGTCGGAGTGGTTTCTTGAGACCTGGTGCCTGCTCCCAGCGTGGTCTGGGACAGAGGAAACACTGAATTCAGTTCGTGAGAGTTAGGTCGGAGGAGCATGGTGCTACACGCCCTGGACGGGCAGGTTTGGAGATTGAAGCTTGTGCTGTCTCCCAGAAAGGGCCGGAACTGAAGGGGGGAATCTCTCCCACATCAGCAAGTTTTTTAAGATGTGAAAACCTCATAAAACCTGGCAAATACAGGACACGGTGCCTTGTAACCGTCTGTAGCAGAGCCAGGCAGCCTCCCGCACGCTTTGCTGTTGAGGTGGTGTCCTGTGCTCTGTGAGATGCTAGCAGCATCCCTGGCCTTGAAACCTTTGAAGTCAGCAGGACTTCGCTCTCGCAGTGTGACAATAAAGTCATCCCTGAGGGAGAATTAATAACTTATAAATATGGACAGGTCTGTTTATTTCCATACCCAAGGGAGAGCCGCATTCCAGACCACCTGGTGGGCAGAACCAGGTTTTTCTGTGTGACAGCGACCAGTCCCGGAGAGCCTCAGGGGAGTGGGACTCTCATTCATGTGGTCCCTGCCATCCTTCTGCTGCCAGCTGTGAGAACTTAATGGCGTCTTCCTCTCCAGGAGCCCTGAGGCCTGGATGAAAAGCAAAAATTGCAACACGATCATGTAGGGGAAAGAGGGTACTTCAATGAGTTCACAGAAAACGGAATTAAAAATAAGGTATTTGGTGCCCCCAAGCCCCCTGGAAATCCATGCATAGTTGTTTTTTTTTTTTTTTTTAATGATTTATCTATTTATTTGAAAGGCAGAGTTACAGAGAGAGAAACAGAAAAACATAGATCTTCCATCCACTGGTTCACTCCCCAAATGGCTGCAACGGCCAGAGCTGCGTCGATCTGAAGCCAGGAGCTTCTTTCGGGTCTCCCACATGGGTGCAGGGGCCCAAGAACTTGGGACATCTTTTGCTGCTTTCCCAAGCCATAGCAGAGAGCTGGATCAGAAGAGAAGCAGCCGGGACTCTAACCGGCGCCCGTACGGGATGCTGGTGCCACAGGCGCTGGCTGTATGCACCATGCCAGGTTTTTTTTTTTTTTTTTTTTTAAGGTCCCTGTATATGGTCTATAAGTATGGGTAACGAGTAGAAGAGCACATACAAAGACATGAAGAATGACTATTTTTGACTGCTGGGATGGCCACTTCTGTGTGTATGTTCTCCTAACCTCCCAAAGCTTCTACAGTGACACTGTATACTATGCCATTCTGCAATTAAAATAACTTTATGAGAAAAAAGGCAGGCAGTTACATTGGTCCACAGAGCCCATTCTTTCCTTCTCCAGGTTCCCATGTGCCCCGGCCTAGGTTTCCTTCTGAAGTCTGGGGCGTTTTTCTCTACCTTTGATAGCCAAAGGAATCAATCTTCAAAGAGCTCACTATGGGACACTTCACCACTGTCTTCCCCAAATACAGGTCGAAGGCCAGACACGGAGCTGCCGCACTGCACAGAACAAGGAGCAGGTGCAGGGGCGACCTCCTGTGGTCTCCTCGGGTCTTGAGCCCACCAACCAGAGCTGTTGCCTTTATCAATGCCAAATTTTTTTAAAAATCAGATTAATTCTGTAAGCAATGGGTGAAAACCTGGAGGTTTTGCTTTTACTTTTGCTTAAAAAAAAGTGCACAAAACAATATACATGTAGCCCTCAGAAAAAGAATCTAAAGGTTTTCAAATCAGAGCCAGAATGTCAGCACATTTGTACAAATCCCTGCTGAGCTGAGCGAGCAGTCTGAAACACTGTCCTAACAAAATAATAATCTTGCAGTATGCATTTGTAGACACATGAATGCTATAAACCCCCGGGCCCCTACTCCAGCCCTGTGGGTTGTGTCTGCCCAACAGCATTACACACGTGTGCCCAACCCCCAACACATAAACACATAACACCCGCATCTTTCTTTATTCTAGCCATCATTCATGAAAGGCCAACCCAACCCACTATGCGATTAAGAGATGCTCTGAGTCAACAGTAGGGACAAAAACCTCAAAGTTCCCCACCAAAGCCAATAATGTCTGGAATCCCTCTCCCTCTGCTGGGCTAACCCAGCAAGGTGCAGAGCTGAGCGGAATGTGGTTAGCCCACACCTGTGAGTTCACTGGCAGAGAGGGAGGGAAGGTATCTGGCAGAGGACCTGGGGAGGTAAGATCGCAAGGTGGGCAGGTGCCCCTGGACCTGGAACCCTTCTTACTTTCTTTGAGTCTGGCTAGAACAACACTTCTCCAGTCCCCTGGAGAAGTTGGCAGTGTATGCTGGACCCATAGCCAGGACCCATGAGGGTCCAAGCTGCCTGGTTTCCTGGCACGGTCTAGGTGCACATCTATCATTCCGGTATCATTATTGATCGTGTTTCCTTTTATTTTCAAAAGTATCTCAGTTCACATGATAAATCTGTGGACACCCAGGGCCAAGTGAGCAATAATTGAGACATAGTGTAGAGAGTCTACAGAAAAAAAAAATATATATATATATATGGTCTCCAAAATACCTCTTCAGAATCCAGCAGAGTGCAGTGTCAGGTATACTTTGAATCTGGTAGCCTAAGAAGGAAGACCACCCACTTCCCTTGTCTCTCACACCTGCCTTACAGCTGCAAGCAAAAAGAAATCTGACTCATAATCTGTTGGTCAAATTAATCACCATTTCAATGCTTACAAGGCAAGAGTTAGTCTATACAGAAAGAGCAGAGAGAAAAGTTTATTAGTGTTTCCATTCAAAGTGAAGGGGCAGAAAATGTGGCTGTAAATTGAATCAGTCAGGTCAGAGAGCCGAAGCCTGTGCTGACGGAGGCTCCAACCTGTGACCCTTGCAGTGAGCTGCAGGTCACAAGGAAGCCGAGCGCAGGGCCATCTATGAAAAAATAGCTGTGAGGGCAGGTTCTCTACCACACAGGGCCACCATCTGCCTTTTCATATAAAACAAAAGCATGGAGGTTAGGAGAGGAGTACCGAGATCTGAATTGGAAGGTCAAGGATTCAGTCAACTACAAAATTATTATTATTTAACTTGCTCCTTTGATAATAGGATAGCAACACAAGTACCCCATGCAGAGCTTTAAGATACTTGGCTTTGGGGGAGCACAGTTGATTGAGTTAGCTGCCAGCTTTCTGGGTCCCGCACTGCACTGGAGGCAAGACCACACTCCCCCGCAGCCACTCCTAAGTAATGATTGACGATGGTACTGCCATTATTTTTCAGTTGTTTTCCCCAAATCTGATTTTTGGAGAAATCAAATGGGCACATGTATTTAATGTCTATTATATAATTGAAATAAAAAAAAGTCTACCTATGGGTCTGGTTGATCCTTGCTGGCTCCTAATAAGGACATTTTGACTGTGACTTAAGAATCTCACAAGCAACATCCAGCTTTTTAGTTAAGCCTCATACGTGGGTACTTCAAAAAGTTAGTAGAAAATGAAATTAAAGATAAGCTGGGATGGGCCTTTGGCACAACAGCCTGAGTCATTGTGTGGGACACCTGTATCCCAAACCAGAGTGCCTCATTCGAGTTCCGGCTACTTCACTGCTGATCCGACTTCCTGCTAGTGTGCACCCTGGGAGGTAGCAGATGAATGAGACAGCAGATGGGAGATGTGTGTGTGTGTCTGTCTGTCTGTCTTTCAAATAAAAGGAAAATAAATGAACTTTTAAAGATACATTAATATTGTGAAAAAAATCCTGAAATCCACATTTATGAGGGGTCTCCAAAAAGTCTGTGGGGAAAAAAACTATATGTGGATTTCAAAAATTTTTGCAACAATATAAACATATCTTTTATTTCTACTTTCCATGAACTCTTGAAGTATGTAATCAAGGAGTCCATGTTCCTAGATATAAACTACAACTCTTCCACAAACCAGAAGACTCTAAAATTATATACAATACACACATTGTTTGGTCTCCATTTGAAAAGTGAGCCCAGTTTTTCTAGGCTAAAGGTAAAATGTTCTCTTTGGGGCCGGTGCTGTGGCATAGCAGGTAAAGCCACAGCCTGCAGTGCCAGCATCCCATATGGGTGCCAGTTCAAGTCTCAGCTGCTTCTCTGCAGATCCAGCTCTCTGTTGTGGCCAGGGAAGGCAGTAGAAGATGGCCCAAGCACTTGGGCCCCTGCATCCACGTGGGAGACCTGGAGGAGACTCCTGGCTCCTGGCTTCAGATTGGCTCAACTCCAGCTATTGAAGCCATCTGGAGAGTGAACCAGCAGACAGAAAACCTCTCTCTCTCTCTCTCTCTGCCTTTGCCTCTGCCTCTCTGTAGCTCTGAGTTTCAAATAGATAAATAAATCTTTAAAAAAAAGTTCTCTTTGAGCTTTAATGCTGGTTGATGGCTCCTCCGAATACGTGCACAGATCTCTAAGCACTGTCTTCCTCATGCTAACATTCTCTGATGCAAAATTAAACCTCTACATATGCTTTTGTCTTCATCAGTTTACTGAGAACTCAAAAAGAAATGACAACGCAGTGATAAAGATAATGACCGAAAGGGGGTAGCAAACAGTCTAAATATTCCTAAGACAGGATATAAAGGTCATTTGGGTACCTAAAGTCCTGAATCCTTCCCACTTGGCAATAAACAATGGTGTGGTTCCTATAATAAGTGAAGCGGATATTGGGAAGAGAATTTCCAAAATTCCATTCCTAGAACAAATGCATTGCACCAAACGTGTTAATTCAGGTCCTCCAGGGAGCCGGGGGCCAGGCGAGATATTTGTGAGGCTTGCTGGAGAAGCTCTGTGCCAGGAAAGAAAGTCCGAATGGAAGCTGTGGTGTGCCGATAGAGGCTGCACAGGCGGCTCTCAGGAGCGGGTCAGGGGAAATGCAGGCACACATATATCCCTGCCTATGCTTATTATATATCTCACTGATATAAAGCTGTAGAGCACACAGTTGGCAAATGATAAGAAAATGTGCAATGCTTTCTGTTGCAAATTCTGTTTTAGCCCACTGATACTCAGTCTGCTTTTATTCATTTTTTGCCAACCTCTTGCGTCTGTAGGCAGCTTACAACTGTGATTTGATCATGATTTCCCAAAATCAGATAACCAATAAATGCCTGATTATTATCCAATTCAGCAAAGAAGTCCTATCATTCATGATAACAGTTTTCTAGTACTGGAAGTCTAGTTCCACAATATTTTTTCTATTTACCTTATGGACCAGGCTAAAAAGCAACCTATTTGGAGACCAAGAAGAATTACATTCATTTGGGACTTATTAAGATTGTAATCTAGGGGGCCAGCGCTATGGCACAGTAGGTTAAGCCTCCTCCTGCAGTGTCAGCATCCCATATGGGTGCCAGTTCGAGTCCCAGCTGCTCCACTTCCTATCCAGTTCCCTGCTAATGCACCCAGGAAAGCAGCGGAAGATGGCCCAAGTGCTTGGGCACCTGCACCTGTGTGGGAGATCCAGAAGAGGTTCCTGGTTCCTGGCTTCCAGTCAGCTCAGCTCCATCCATTGCAGCCATCTGGGGAGTGAACCAGTGGATAGAAGATCTCTCTGTCTCCGTCTCTCCCTCTTTCTGTAACTCTGTCTTTCAAATTAATAAAATAAATCTTTAAAAAATTAGCAATGATGGATCAGGATAGCTGCATTTGGAATACTTTCTGTTATTAGTCAATATTTTTAGATTGTTAGAACCTGATAGTTATAAGCCTAAAGTTGGCTTCAGTCTGCAGTAAATCTTTCACAACTCTTGTAATACAGAGACCTTTTATTTCTTATTTCTTTTTTCTTTTCTCTCTCTCTCTCTCTCTTTTACAGATTTATTTATTTGAGAGGCAGAGTTATAGACAGAGTGAGGGAGAGACAGAGAGAGGGGTCCTCTATCCACTGGTTCACTCCCCAAATGTCCACAGTGGCCTGGTCCAGCTCTGGCTATTTTTAAATATTTATTTCAAAGCCGGAGCTACATATAGGCAGAAGGAGAGAGAGAGAGAGAGAGAGAGAGATCTTCTATCCGCTGGTTCACTCCCCAAATGGCCATAATGGCTGGAGTTAGGCCAATCTGATGCCAGGAGCCAGGGTCTCCTGGGTCTCCCACATGGGTGCAGGGGCCCAAGGACTTGGGCCATCTTCTGCTGCTATCTCAGGCCATAGCAAAGAGCTAGATTTGAAGTGGAGCCACCAGGACTCGAACCAGTGCCCAAATGGGATGCCGGCACCCCAGGCAGAGGTTTACCCGCTATGTCACAGTGCCAGCCTCCAACGCCAAAGTTCTTTCATGCTGCTCCTGGCCAGCGGCTGATGTATTAATGCAGTTTCACACATTTAGGGCGCAGAACTTCTTTAGCAGGTAATTTGAAACCAATGATTCTCTAGCCATCTTTTTTGGGTCCATAATTGAGAAGAATTTTAAATAAGAAGTTTTCCTAGAGCCAATTTGGTGCCGAGAGCCTTCAAATTTTTTATAGTTTCTTAGTTGTGATATCTTACCTCTGAGAATCTGTCCTAGGAAAGTACACTGGGCTACTGTAAGCATTTTTTCTTTTTTTTCTTTTTCTTTTTTTTTTTTTTTTTTTTTGATAGGCAGAGTGGACAGTGAGAGAGAGAGAGAGACAGAGAGAGAGAGAAAGGTCTTCCTTTTCCGTTGGTTCACCCTCCAATGGCAGCCTCAGACAGCGCGCTGTGGCAGGCGCACCACGCTGATCCGATGGTAGGAGCCAGGTGCTTCTCCTGGTCTCCCATGGGGTGCAGGGCCCAAGCACTTGGGCCATCCTCCACTGCACTCCCTGGCCACAGCAGAGAGCTGGACAGGAAGAGGGGCAACCAGGACAGAATCCAGCGCCCCGACCGGGACTAGAACCCAGTGTGCCAGCACCGCAAGGTGGAGGATTAGCCTAGTGAGCCGCGGCGCTGGCCTTTTTTTTTTTTTTTTTTTCATTTTAAGATCTTAAGAGAGAATACTTAAGGTGAGTACCAGTTTTCTTTATTCTTTTTGTGTATATTCTGGTTGTCCCATGATCAGTATGTACTACCTAACCTCCAAAACCTCAGACTGTGAAAGCAGATGGCTCCCATTCTCATCCTGGTCCATTATTGACCAGAGGGTAAAACCTTCCTCACTTTAGGAGCTGGACTTCAACCCGTGAATTTGGAGGACACCCACGCTCAGACCATTGCAGACACTAAGCCCATTTTCTAATATGCACCCATGATGTTGCAGCATCACTTGTTACAAGACCCTCCTACTGGGGCTGGCATTGTGGCGTCGCAGGCAGGGCCACCGCCACCCACATGGGCACCTCTTGCTCCATTTCTGATCCAGCTCTCTGCTATGCTCTGGAAAGGTAGTCCTTGGGCCCCTGCACCCACATGGGAGACCCGGAAAGAGCTCCTTGCTCCTGGCTTCAGATCAGCCCAGCTCTGGCTGTTGTGACCATTTGGGGAGTTAACTAGCGGACGGAGGACCTTTCTCTCTGTCTCTCCCTCTCTGTCTGTAACCCTACCTCTCAAATGCAGGCACCTTGGCCCACTCCACACCCAAATAAATAAAGCTTAAAAAAAAAAAAAAAAAGACTCTCCTTCCTGCACTGAGCTGCATTTGTGCGCGTTGATTTCCAGCCTCTCTCTTCTGTGCCGTTAGCCATTTGTTCCATCACCAATGCCACCCTGCCCTGGAGAGGGAAACTTTATATTGCATCTCAAAATCAGATATGGCGAGTCCTCCTGATGTGGGCATGAGCATATTAATTTCCAATCCAGGTTCTTGTCTCCGACAGAGATAAAAATTCCAAGTGGAGACCACTAAGGTGTGCATATAGGAACAGGAGTGATCTAACAGTGAGGGAATAAACACACATTCATGCCTAAGAGAAACAGCCATCATGAGTGGGCCAGAGGGTTGCTCGTGAAAAAGAGAGAAAAAAATGATAGCAGTGATAGTATGGTCCTGCCCCTGCTCACGAACTCCTTTATGAGATAGGGGGTGCTACCTTCAGCTATACAAATGGGGTGGGTCCTAGCATGAACCCTGGTCCCAGATGAGACAGGTGGATCCTGGGAAAGTGGGCACATCAAGCCAGCAGTTACAGAGATAAACAACACTCTGCAGCGTGGTAGGCATTCCAGCTTGCCTAAATTTTTACTAATTGCCTAGGTACATCACATCACTTCAACGTCTTCTTCAAAATTATTTTGGCTAATCGTCTCTCTCCCTTTTTTATTTTTTGAATTTCTATCTGAAATTTAGAATGAATTTGTTGATGGTGACAGAAAAGTTTTGGTTGCCATTAGATTGAACCCCTATATCAATTTGGGAAGCATTAAATTTGGAGGAAAACTACTTGTTCATAGTTTTTGCCCATTTGCTTATTCATTTTTATCTTTATCTGTTTTTTTTTTTTTAAGAAAAAACTATGGGTTTCTTTTAAAAATACTGGCGAGGGGTCATCATTCGGCACCATGGTTCAGACTCCATTGGAACACTCACATCCCATATTGCAATGCCTGAGTCTGAGTCCTAGTGCTGCTCCCAATACCAGCTTCCTGCTAACTTGCACCCTGGGAGGCAGTGGTGATGGCTCAAGTGTTGGGCCCTTGCCACCCACCTTGAAAACCTGGATTGAGTTTTGGGCTCCTGGCTTCTGCCTGGCCCAGCCCCAGCTACTGGGAGCATTTGGGGACTGACCTGTCTCTGTCTCCCTGCCTTTCGAGTAAGTGAAAATAAATTTAAAAATTCTAGGCCGGTGCCGCATCTCACTAGGTTAATCCTCCACTTTGTGGTGCTGGCACACTGGGTTCTAGTCCTAGTCAGGGTGCCGGATTCTGTCCCGGTTGCCCCTCTTCCAGGCCAGCTCTCTGCTGTGGCCAGAGAGTGCAGTGGAGGATGGCCCAAGTCCTTGGGCCCTGCACCCCATGGGAGACCAGGAGAAGCACCTGGCTCCTGGCTTCAGATCAGCGCGGTGCACCGGCCGCAGCAGCCATTGGAGGGTGAAGCAACGGTAAAGGAAGACCTTTCTCTCTGTCTCTCTCTCTCTCTTACTGTCCACTCTGCCTGTCAAAAAAAAAAAAAAAAAGTAAAAAAAAAAAGTAAAAATCCTAAAACTGTATTCTTGAAAAAAACAAATCACATCCATGGAGCAACAGATCACTAACCGCAGGCACTCTCCCTCCCCTCCTCCCCCCTCAGGCTCCGGGAAGAATGGAAGCAGAGGCTGGAGATGAGGCTGAGAATGCTGGACAACCCGGATGAGAAGGGAAAGCAGGCAAAGCCCTCGGACTGACAGCTCCCCCGCCCCGCCCCGCCCCCGCCCCGCCCCCGCCCCACCCCAGCAGCTTCCAGGACCAGCCACCAAGGGCACTTTTCTAAGAGAAAAAGCTAACACCCAAGTTGTGCTGATTCCGAGCAAGGCCACTCCCTGGTGCTCCCTGTCTGTGAAGGGATTTACATGTGAAACCGCCCCCGTGCTAATGGGAGCTGTGATCCTGCTCAATCCTCCACACGCAGGGCAGGGCGACCGCAGATGGGATGGGAAGTTCCAGTTATCTAATATAAAAAGCTCTCCGAATTAACACGCCCAGGTCTCAGAGATCCAAGTAGCACAATGTATTCCCACATCTTCTCATTTGCAAACCTGGATGTTTTCTCTTTAAGTTTCCAGAGTGCGGGGACCTGGGCAGGCCTCTGGCTGCCTCAAGGTGTCCTGGGAAGGCAGTCATGGAGTCTTGCCTTGCCTTTCTCCCATTTGTGAATGCAAAAATGCAACTGCTTGCAGAAATAAAGCTGTCATTATTCAAAGAGTTGATCCACCATATGGTTTAACAATGAACGGAATTATTATTTTTTTTCTCTCTTTTCAGAAACATGCACGGATGTGGGACGATGCTTAGTGAGGTTGGGCGGGGCACACCCTGTGTTAGCTCCCTTCACACCTGTCCTGGTCATTTCTTTGGTGGCACAAGCAGATGGCAGCCCCGGCTGCTCCAGACACATTCTAGAATTTAAAGTCACCCTCATTTTAGCCTCTGGACAAGCCCTAGACGTGATGGCTAGGCACAGGAGCCGTGATGAGAACGCCTCTGTCTGGGGTTCCTCACTGTGGGACAGGAGCAGGAGGTTGTGGAGCTGCGAGGGAGCATGAGGGGTGGAGAGAGTGCCAGTGAGGGCAGCCCAGCCTTCACGGGTGCCCTGGGCTGGCACACGCCGCTTCCTTTGCCTCCCCTCGAATACTAAAAGGCCTCATCATGGCTAAGTGGGTCACGGGCGGTGAGAAGGGTTGGAAGGGAGACTTCCATAAGGACCAAGAAGCGCAGGAGTAAGTATCAGGATACCCGACCGTGTCTGGAAAGAGGGAGGCCCTTGAAAACTTGATCTGGAAGCTGAGACCTAGACCATAACAACCATTTCACTATGTTATGTGTGCATGAAAACATTACGTTATATACCTTCAATACGTGCTGTTAGGGAATAAACGGAGTTAAGAATCATCCAGGAAAACAGGTGAGGGTGTCTCACGCAAGGGAGCAGAAAATAGAAAGAACCACAGGAAACAGAGACCATGGGGGTGGCAGGGCCCCCGGGGGTCCGCAGGGAGGTGAAGAACGGGGAAATGTGTGTTGGCCACACAGAGAATGAGGGGGCACTGGGTCTCTGGAGCAAGACATCTGGATTTACCCACAGGTTCACTGAAAGCCAAGGGCAGAGTTTAGGGAAAGAATGAACTCCTTAGATTTGTGTTATTATTATTTTTTAATTTTCTAATACATAACATGTGATTATAGCTTCGTGTAAGTGCATGAATATGAAAATATCATGCATGCTGATACGGCTTTTAAAAATTTTAATTTATTTATTTAAAAGGCAGAGAGACTGAGAGAGGGCAGCCATCTGTTAGTTCACTCCCCTGAATGCTTGAAACAGCCAGTGGGGGTGACACCAGGAGCGCTCAAGCCAGGTCTCCCCTGGAGGGCAGGGATTCGACTGTATGAACCATCCCCACTGCCTCCCGGGTCTGCACTGCTAGGAAGCTGGAGGCGGGTCCTGAACCCAGGCGCTCCAATTTGGGACACAGGCATCCTTACTGACTTCTTAACTGCTGGGCCAAACATCTGCCCTGCTATTTCACGGCAGTTTTAGCTAACTTTTTTTTCTTTTTCTTGGCTTGCTCCCTCCCTTTTTACTCGACTCTGTAGCACCAGCGACCCTCACACCCCAGTGACCCAGACTAGCAACCTCCCCTAGTTTTCTTCATGTTCACATAACCTTACACAGCACACACACACACAGTCACACACCACAATCGCACACACTCAGAATCACAGTCACATTCACAATCACAACCACACAGTCACAGAATCACACAGAATCACACACACATAATCACACACACACTCACAATCACACAGTTACACTATCACAATCACACAGTCACACACCCAATCACACACACTCACAATCACAGTCACACTCACAATCACACAGTCACACAATCACACAGCCACACACCCAATCACACACACTCAAACTCATAATCACACACAGTTACCCAATCACACAGGCACACACTCACACAATCACACACACTCAAATTCACAATCACACACAATCACAATCATACACACAGTCACAATCAAATACACAGGGTCACACACACAGTCACAATTATACACACAATCACACACAGAGTCACACATTCACACTTATAATCAAATACTCATATTCACAATCATACACACACAATTACACACACAATTACACACAGTCACACACTCATAATCACACACAGCAAATCAATACTCACACTCACACACACAGAGTCACATATTCACACTAACAATCACATACATTCACAATCATACACACACAATTACACACAGTCACACACTCATAATCACACACAGAATCACATACTTACACTCACACACACAGTCATATTCACACTCACAATCACATACATTCACAATCATACACACACAATTACACACAGTCACACACTCATAATCACACACAGCAAATCAATAGTCACACTCACAATCACACACACAGAGTTACACACTCACACAATCCTCTCCATCTGAAAAGCTCTGTGTGGTAACATTTTACAAAATAGGGTCATACTAAACCCTGCCTCTTTCTCTCCTCTCTCGACTATGCCTCATACCAACGCTTCCAGGTCACTTTAGCTCCAATTCACATTTTTAAGGTGGCCAGATTATCCGTGATGTGGACGCCCCTTAATAAAGTTCTTTCAGAGATGGGCAGTCAGGTGCTTCCCAGGGTTGTGCCATTCAGACAACACAGCTTGGATGCTAGTGACCGGATAACAGAAGATTCCCAGGAATGGGAAATTAGAATAAGCGGCATTGGCACTTTGAGATGTTAAACGGTTTCCAGAGAGGCTGGAGAAACGTCCCCTTGGAGGCTGCAGCTTCTGAGTGTGCTTCTCCGACAGCACGGCCAGCATCAAGTGTCGTGGCTTCTCCCGACTACGGCCAGCATCAAGTGTCGTGGCTTCTCCAACAGCACGGTCAGCATCAAGTGTCGTGGCTTCTCCCGACTATGGCCAGCATCAAGTGCCGTGGCTTCTCCAACAGCACGGTCAGCATCAAGTGTCGTGGCTGTTGCTTGTTTTTCTAGTCTGAGTGCCGTTCAGTGATTACCACTTCGCTTGTCTGAACACTGACGATCGGGGGTCCCATTTCCTTTGCTTGTCTACTGGGTGAATTTCCCCATCCATGAATTGCTGCTCAAACGTCTTGTCCATTATTCTAGGATTTACCTCTCATGTCACTTTGTGTAAATTCTTCACTTATTATAAAAGTGAACCTCTGGACTGTTATTTGTATTATAAATCTAGAGGACGGGGAGGGTCTGTTTAAAAAAAAAAACGCATTATCAACTTAGAAAACCTTGAAGCCATAAACAAAAAACTAGATATATTGGTCTATATGGAAGTGTAAAGGGCGGGGGGCATTTGGTGTAGTGTCAAGACACCACTTGGGCCACCTACATCATGTATTATAAGACTCTGAACTCTGTTCCTGATTCCAGCTTCCTGCTGGTGAACACCTGGGATGCAGCAGGTGATGGCTCAAGTCCTTGGATCCCTACTACCTACATGGGAGACCCGGATTGAGGTCTAGGCTCTTGGCTTCATCTTGCCCCAGCCCTAGCTGTTGTGGGCATGTGAGAAATAAATCCATGGATGGACGATATCTCTCTGTCTGTCTGTTCTGTCTCTCTGCCTTTCAAATAATACAAAAATAAAAAAGGATTTTTAAAAGTTAAAGCCTTATATGTGGCAAAATGTACCACAAGCAGAATAACTTCGGGGGATTCACAAGTTTTAAACATTGCTCAAGAGCTGTTGGGAAAACGGATTTGAGGGGAGGTGGCAGGAGACGGCTGAAGATGAATTAGAAGGCTGTTTCCAAGGTCTCCACAACAGGGCAAGGTCAGGAGAAGGTAGACTAAATAGGAGGTGCAGGTTGATTGAATGTAGGGGAGCAAAGTGTGGGGTTCTAAACTTAGATGTTCACTTATCTTAACTGGTATTTAGTTAGCATAGGCTAAGCAGAGAATATGTGCGTGTATAGGAGCCCAAGGAGACAGCACAGTTGGTTCTGTTGAGATCTCCATCAGCTACCAGTGGGGATACTGGGCACACCTCTAACCCCTGGGGCTTTGGTCTGTGATCTGTAGTAAGAGGCACAGTGTCATGTTTCTCGGGGTGGGAGAGGTTAAATGGGCAGATCTTGAGCAGGACCTGGCACAGAGCAAGCCCCGGGTGTACCTGAGCCCCCAGCCTCTTCCTCCCCTTTCTGCTTCCTCCTCACTCTCACCTGGCTGGGGGCAAGTAGAAAATATACCCCCCGTTCTGGGGGCACCGATTCCCAAACTGCTTGTTTGCCAGAATCACCTGGAGAATTGTTCTAAATCCGCAAATGCCCAGTTCTGTTGGTGTGGGGTGGGGCTTGGGAATCGTCATCTTTATTCTAATGCCCAAGTCCCGCTTGGGTACTGCATCCCCAGAAGGTTCACAATCTAGAGAACAAGGACCACAACCAAATGTGTGTGGCCAGGGCTTTAGGAGGGGCTCCAGGTCGGGGAGAGGGTGTGCAGCCCTGGGGAGTCCAGGGAGAGTGAGGTCAAGGCTCGGAGGGGGGTCAGCCATGTAAAGGCCAGAAATGGCCTCTATGCCTTCCCTGTGGACTGGAAGGAAGGAAAGGGAGAGGGAGGTCGGGGTTAAACGGGCAAGGCCTTGAAAGGCTGCACTGAGGAGTTCAGTCTCCGTCACACAGGAGACTCATCAAAGGTTTCTAAGCAGGTCAGTGACTTGCTAAGAACTTGTCTTAGTGACTCAGTCAACAACCCTGGCAGCAGTGTGGAGAATGCACTCTACAGATGTTCGGGATTGCCTTTGTTAAAACTGTGATTATCCAAACAGCTTCGCTTGGAAGACATACCCTCGATTTTTTTTTCCTCCACCCTGTTCAAGGTGCACGAAAGTACAAATATAAGAGTGTGGTTCCAAGTGCTGAGAGACCGGGACCAGAACACAGCAAATGTGCCCCGGACTTCAGCTCAGGGCAAACACCTTTAAATGTCCAGCTTTTGATCTCGAATGAGTTGGCACTTTTCCAAGAAACTTTGTATGAAACAGTCTGAAACATGAGAAATTCCAGAACTGAACCAACTTAGGAGTGAACTCAGCTGCTCAAAAAAAAAAGTTTTAGTGAACTTAAACCATCGTTGTATTTCTGCTCGACGATGAGCAGCAGTAAGACGTCCCTTCATCCTTT